CCCCAAAACCCCAAAACCCCAAAACCCCATGAATTCGATTTGTGAAAAGAATTAAAACACAAATAAAAATTCATAATTTAATTTTAATTTTCGTTAATTTATAATTGATCTGATTCAGTGATTATTTCAGAATATTAAGTATCCTAAAATTAAAGTTTATTTATATAAGTTAAATTATTTATTTAATGGGAGCATTATGTTCAAAATAGATGGAAGATGATACATCATAGATACCATAATCAAATACTCTCAAGATTTTATAGAAAAGATTACAATTTAAAATTTCAGGTAAAATTTTCTCTCTGATTTAGGAGATATTTAGATCTGTATGTATAGCAGATGGAAAATATTTTTGTAATTCTTGAAAATAAAATCAATATTATGCAAGACAAAATAGAGGAATTCATAAGCATTTCATTAAATCCAGCAATTGAAAACACAAAAGCAGGGTTTGTATCTAGTTCAGTGACAAGAAATGAAAAATTAGCTTATTTAGTAAGAATTTAGCTTCATATTCAATAAAGTTATTGACAAATTTTAGAATGAAATGACTAAGTTATTTGAAGGAATGATTGATAAAATTTAGAGAACGAAGAATAGCAGGAATAACTTAAATGAAGAATTTAAATCTTTAATTAATCAACCATACGATAATTGCAGGTAGAAAATAGAAGCAATTGAAGAATTTAATAGTTAGCTAGACCCACTTAAGGATGATCTCATTTAATTGGAGTAAAACTTCAAGTAATAATTTATAGGATTCATCTAGTTTAAAGATGGATCTGATATGCTAAATGACTTTCAAAATGGATTAAAATAACTTACTCTAGATATGCCGAATATTATATATTCTATAAAGAAGCTTGAAGATCCTATCAAGGAATTTGACAAATTCATACACTAATTGATTGTAGATAATATCAATTATGAGGAAAATGTTTCTATCAAATTGATTGATATCATTCAAAAATGCTATAAAAAATACAATAAATTAGACAGAAATGCCACAGAAGTATATTAAGTTTATGAGGAGATAAATAAATCTAAGGAATAAATCATCATAAACTATCAAGATAGTTTTTCTTTAAATGAATCATTTGATAAAGTGATTGAATTATTAAGTAAAAGAGATTTATGCAAAGAAAAATTAATTAAGTTAAAGAGAATTCTTACTGATTTAAAAGTAGAGCTAGGAGATATGTTTATTGATACTATTCAAATATCACTAACTTAAAAAATTTAGAAATTAAAAAAAGAAGTAAATGACATGATTTTTAAAATAAGCACTAAAAATCAATCAATTTCATCTGGATTACTTGAATAAGATATAAGAGGTTCTGAAAAATATCATTATCAGAATTAATTTGAAAACTTCAAGAAAGCCTTATAGATGATTTCAGAGGATAATGACTAATTTAGCTTAGAATTATCTGCAGTTTAATCAATTAAAGATAGCAGCATCAGTATATTATCAAGATTCGTCTAAAAGCAAAAAGAAACTTGCATCAGATCACTAAAAATTGATGGGGAGATAACACAGTTCCAACTCCAATTATTATAGGAAAAAATAATGCGTAAAAAAGATAACATTGATATGATGTTGATGCATATTAGTTCTTAACAGGATTTTTTAGGTCCATAAGAATTAGTCGAATTTCGAACATTAAAGCTAAGACAAAAACAATCCGATGACAAATTTGAGGAAATAAACAAAACGTATTTAAGCATTCCATTTAGCAGTGAAGATGAGAACCAGAATCTTATCGTGCTGAGTAAAGTAGTTACAGACATGTAATAAGCACTTCAGCTTTCAATCGATGTATTGGATGAATATAAAAGTATACTTAGAGAGCTAAAACTATTGAAAATCTAGTAACTTCATGATGAAAGAATTGTAACTTTCAATGAAGAAGCATCTGAAAATGATAGAGATGCTAGTGGAAGTATTACTCCTAAAAAGGGGATAATTGTGCCTAATGAAACCTATAATTCAATGTCTAATATCAAGCCTAGAATATAATCCTAAAATATTTCAAGGACAAGAAGCCCTATATTTCAATCTTTAATAAAGAGTTTTAAATAGTAAACTGATGAAACTGACCTACTTATTAATGAATTTATTTAAACTAATAATGTGGCAATGCCAATAACAAAGATCTAAGCTAATGTCTACTAATTTGGCTCTAGAAAAGTTACCACTAAAGTTAAAAATGGAGTTTTATTAGTTAGAGTCGGAGGTGGCTATATGAGTATGGCCAATTTTTACTTTTAACACGGAGAAACCTCTAATATAAATATAATATGATAGGATAAAAGCACAACTAAAACATCTATTAGTGGTCTGCTAAGTAATAGTTTCATAAGATAAACTACTAAAGCGAGCCTCGGGACAGCATCTCCATCTTTTAATACGACTCTCTAGCATGGTACATTGAAGAAATTAAATTTAGCAGTCTCTCCTATAAGAAATCCTAAAATACCAATCTTATAAACAAATCAAATTTGCGGAAGAAGAACACAACTTGACTAGAATTATCAAACTTAACCTATTTTTATCAAAAATAGCAATAATTGTAAAGGAAAAACTTTAGGAAGTGTTATCTAGGGATATACACCAAAAGTATCTCCGTCCCGAGGAGAGTTGGATTCAGACATTCTAATGACTGAGGATTTCCAACTGGAAACAATTACATCAAGATTTGATACATCATTTGAAAATAGTGTTGAAGACTCTTAGCAATCCTTCGATTCCTAGCAATAGATATATCAGTCAGGAATGACCAAGCAGATTCATTAGAATGGTCAGATTAAGAGATTGCAGAAGAAACAAAAATAAAGGAAATTATGATTTTTGTAGACATATAATATTAAGTATTTTACTCTTCTATAATAAGGAGAAAATACGAGCATATGCTTATTTTCAAGGTTATGCATAAAATTAAATTAGTTAATTCTAAAATAAAATATTAATCTATAACTAATTAGCATATCTAATGGGGTTTTGGGGTTTTGGGGGTTTTGGGGTTTTGGGG